CTGACTGAATCTCTGCTTGTCTACTTGTAGGGCTCTGGACCCTCAGAGGACCTCATGGAGCCTGCGTAGGGCTCTCACAACTTTTTCTGGCTTTTGGTCCCTTCCCCTGTCTCCCTTCTAGAGCCAAGCCTTGGGAGCAGCATCTGGCAGCCTTTCCTTCATGGTGAGTGACCTCTCCTTCATGGTGAGTGACCTCTCCAAGGCTCCCTGTATTGTCTGCTACACAGTAGGCAGGTGTGGGTTACACAGCCCCCTTAGGCCTAAGGTTCTGGGGCTTCCTTCCCTGCCTCTACAGGTGCCCAAGGTCAAACTATTGCTGAGCCAACTCTCCACCTGCACTGGTAGGCAAGGCCAGCTGCTGGCGGGGCCCAGGGCAAGAAGAGCTCTCTGAACCCCAGGGGAGCTCTCTCTCTTTATTCCTGTTCCATCTGATCCCCATGTTGGGCTGTCCTTGGAGCTGCAAGGAAACGTTGGGCCAAAGGTATGGGTGTGAGCACCACTGCAGGTCCTGGAGGTACCTGACTGCAATTCACAGGCACACTGCATGGTTCTAACCTAGCACACTGTGTGGGCAGGGCCCGTGCCAGGGGAGGACAGGGTGCCTGCTCTCCCTTGGGCAGTGGAGATGTGGGACCTTGTAGAATAAATCTCAAAGGCACATGGTGCCCATGGCATGAAACCATAATTGGGTGTTGCCCCCTGAGTGTCTGGCTGGGTCCTGTTTCTTATGGCATTTGTGGGGAGGTTTTGGTTCCTGCCCTCTTTCAGGCCAAGTGTCATTTTCTAGGAGGGTGGCCGAGGCCCCAGTGAGGAGAAGGACTGGTCTGAGGTTAGTCAGTGATTTGTAGGCTGAGCCAGGACTACTGGGAAGGGGGGTGTTATGGCCTTGATTTATGTACCCCCCCCCAGGCTAGGGGTTAAGATGATACTAGTGGTCACTGGAGTAACACTGGGTACCATGTTACTCAGACTCTGGGCTAAGTTCTTCCCATACTTTGGCTCACTTCATCCTCTCAACATCCCTGTGAAGCAAAGTTTACTGTTGCCATTTTACAGATAGAAAAACTGAGGTACAGAGAAGTTAGATAATTTGCTGAAGGACACACAGCTACTAAATGATAGAAAAAGGACTGATATTAGACGACTGGCCTCCAACACACAAAATCCTGACTGGATGCCAGGGTAAAGCTTGGGGACATGGTCTCAAAGGACCTGCACATCCTGACCTGGGGAACGCAGATCATGTAGTCCAGGCAGGCCTCTAACTTGTAAGTGCTGGGATTATAGTGTGTACCACCCCTCCCAGTTTCCCTCATTTTTTTTTTTTTTGTAATGGATGTGTCACGGAGTTAAATGGATAGAGCCTTCAGGGCGGTATCTGGCACTTACCTAAGCAATCTGAGGTTGTTTGAGATTCTGTCACTCTTAGCTGGGGACTCCCAGTGGACAAAGTGAGTGGCTTTGGCACCCTCACAACCATGCCAGGAGGTTAGAGTTTTTACCCACAAGGTTGGAGGAATAGAAGCCAAGGCTCAGGGAGTCTCTGCTCCTGAGCTTAGTAGAGGGAAGTGGATACTGTTTGTTCCACCAGGGCTTAGCTGCTTGGGAGCAGAGGAAGTGACTCCCTCCTTCCTGGGGCAGGCTATGTGCAAGGCCCTGCTCACCAGCCTCTTCCATACCTAAGAGGCAAGTCCTCTCCTCAGTGCCTCCAGGGTGAACCCCACTCTAATGCACTCCAGATGCAGGACAGAGAAGAGTTCAGGAGACCTGAAGCCTTGGCCCACCTACTCAGGAACTGGCATGTAATCTCAGGTACCTCACTTTCCTTTTATGCCTCTGTTTTTCCATCTGAAAAGTCATGATAATTTACATCCCACCTTTGGAGTCAAAAGACCTGAGTGCAAATCTTGATTCCACTACTCATTTGGAGTGGCCCCGAGCAACTTCACTTTTCTTTGTTTCTGTGTCTTTGTAAGAAGAGGCTAACGGTAGAATGTGATAATAGGATGTTAATAAGGAAAATAAGGGCAGAAGACAGGAATTAGCATGACCCTAGCTATCTGTTTTTAAAGTCTGGGTATGTACGTGAAGGTGTCAGCATCTGCTTTTTCAAAAACACAAACATTCCCAGTAGTACTCTGGGCTATGCATCATGGGTAATTTTTTCTTTCTTCTGAATATGACTATTGTAGTTTTCCCATACTGAATGTGTCTCTTACAATCAGAAATTAAAAATCAAAGGCATGAATAATAATGGCCTCACTCCCCAGGGTTGTCTGAGGATCACTGTGGCCTCTGTGAGCAAAGCTGGGTGGCTGGGAGCAGAAGGACCCATTGCCTTTCAGGGCCCACAATGAAGACACAATCTCATTGTAGAAGCTCAACCAAAGGGAAGCTTGAAGAGGATAAAAGCATGTTACTTAGCTTTTGGTTGCTATGACAAAATACCTGAGATGAACAATTAAGGGACAAAGGATTATTCTGGCTTATTTTTAGCCCATGGAAAGCTGGTTCTGCTTCTTTTGGGCCTGTGGTGAGGCAGAACAAGCTGCTGACATCATGGTGGCCAGGGAGCAGAGAGAGAGAGATTGAAGAAGGAGCCGAGGACAAGATATAACCTTCAAAGCCATACTCACAGTGATCAACGTCCTCTAACCAGGTGCCATCTCCTAGTTTCCACCACCTCCCAATACTATGAATGCATCGATAGATTAATCCATTGATTACATCACAGCCTCCATGGCCTAGTCACCTCTCAATGATTGGATCCACCAGCTAGGAACCAAGCCTTCAACACACAAGCTTTTTGGGGACACATCATATTCAAACCATAACTGGTAACTGGAAGTAAAAGACCTAGCTTCTAAAGCTAGCCCCACTCCCTATCTTGGGCAAGGCACCTGGCCTATCTGGCCTTAGTTTCCCAGTCTGTAAAAAGGGACTAAAGGGTACTTGCCTCACTGGGAGGTTGTGAATACCCAATGAAACAATGGCTTTGCCTGTGACTTGACTCCCTAACTCTTGACCCAGAAATGAGCTTCTAGGTCTTTGATACATTTAACATAGGGATTCACTGGAAAATAAATAATCTGATGTTTGAAATCGTCGATCCTGTTGTTAATAGGTCAAGGGAATGCCAGCAAGTACACTAGGGAAGCAGCTCTGCATTTGATACTTTCCGTGCTCTAGTCTGTTCTGCCTTTCTTCCCCTCCATCCACCCAGACCCTGTCTGCAGCCAAGACTGCTTTCATCTTCAAGGCCACTCTCCTCCCTACCCTCATCCTCTGCACTTCAAAGTTTTTCAGGATAAGTTTAAAGGTCATGTCTTTCACTTAGCCTCCCCTGCCTCACCCAGTCAATCCTGGGCTTTCTCTGAGGTTCTACCTTCACTCATAACCATCAACTACTGAGCCCCTTTCACCTACCAAACTAGGAGATCTCAGGGGGCAGGGTGCCCCTTACCATCTCCCCTCAGGGAGCACAGACAATGATACACGCAGGTGTCAAGAACGCTTCACAGAAAGAATGAGTGTCTCTTACACTGTGTGAAGAGAGCCTGTACCTCTTCCCATTGGAAATGAGCAGTAAAGGTATGGAGTGCCATCGTCCCTAGTGGTTTAGTGGCTCATCTGACAATCCCTCTTTAGCTTGACACTCAGTGAGCAAGGATGAAGATGTGAGGCAGAACCTCCTGGACTTGCTGGGGGTTCTGTGAAGGGGAAGCAAACTGGTCTCTACGACTGACAAGCTGTCAGAAGCAGGAACAAGCAAAAGAAACCCTCCTAGACCATCTGTAACCTGGCCTGTGTGGAAGACGCCATTGTGCTCATGAAACCACTAGTGTTCCATTATCATGGTTGGGCCTCTTAAAAACCCTGTGAGCTGGGTGGCCAGGGAGAGACTTCCTGGTCTTTAAGTAAAGAGGCTGAGGCAAGAAGGGACACCAGGCAAGCCTTATTTTCTGATCTCTTGGGCCCACTGTGCCATGTTTCTTCTTCACTTCCTTTGACCTTCCCAAATACTGGACTAAGGGAAACAGGCATGCTACTGACCCATTTTATAGATGAAAACCCGAACTTTTGAAGACTGAAGCAAATCAAAGCCTTGTCAAGTCAAGAAGAGTAAGCCATCAGGAAGACCGGAAGGGACAGGGGTCAGGTCCTATTGCCGTAAATGGCAGCAGGAGTCACAGGGTCCCTGGGAAGCTGGGTAAGGCTCCCTAAAGGGAATGGTGTATGGTGCTTCCATGGTGAGAAGACAGCATGGGCCATCAACCAGCCATGACAGGAAACTGCAATGACTGGGGTCTCTCTCTCTCTCTCCAGTCTCTCCTATGCAGCCTCACCTTGAGAGTCGTGGAGCCCAGTATGGAAGGCAAGCCTGGGGAGTCTCCCCATTAGAAAAGAGGAGACTTAAGTCAAGAGGGGATGTTCCTGCCAGCACAGTGGCCTCTGATGCCACCTGCAAAACTGTGGAACCACTTTGAACATAGCAATGTTTTTTTTTCATTGTATCAACACCACACACTTAAAGAAAACTTCAAAAGCAATTTTTAAAAAAGTAGTTTCTTTGGGTTTATATACATTTACAAGGTTAGCCTTTGCCTGGTCAGACCTGGTCTCAAGGTCTGACCTTGAGAAAATTGAATACCTTGGTTAATTAGGTGACATTGGATTCTGGAGAGAGCCAAGGGTGAGGCATCAAGGCATGTTCACGTTCTTTCTGACTGCTCCTGGGATCTCACTGTGACCTGGTTTCACCAGTAAAGGTGAGGCTTAGCTGGTGGAGGCCGGGGTGCTGAGTCCATGTGTGCTTCTGGGAAGCTGGGCTGCCAGGTCCAGGTAGCAGGCGCCTGTGGACTACTGAGCACATCTGGTGGTGGTTGAGGACCTGGAGAGCACCAGGCTCCTGAATATTTCTAGGAGCCCCTGTGGATCTAGGCCTCACCTGGGCCAGGAGGCTGTAATAAACATTAAAGGTCTTTGAATCTAACTCCCAACTTGACACCTTTCCCCCAGTGTAGCTCTCTGGATCTACCTCTTTACCTCTAGCAATGGGGAACTTGTCCAGACCTGGACAGGCCAAATTAACATTGGCCCTGCCCCTTACGGCCCCCTGGTCTGGATCTGAGTCTGAGCAGAGAGAGAGCATGTATGTTTCCCATTCTCCATGGGCTGCGCAGAGATCCTCCAGTCTGTAAGGCTTCTCTGCTCAGGCCCTGCAGCTCTGGCTCAGGGTCCATGCCTCGGGCCATGTCCAGCCTCTCCTCAGTGTGACCGAAGCTGACTTTGACATTCAGGGCTGAGAGGTACCCTGGCCTCCCAGTGTGGTGTGGTCTGTATGGAAGGAAGCAATTCTGCTGCGTCCTTTGGGACCCTCTGCCTTTGTGGGCAGCCCAAGGTCCCAGCATCCTGACGGCAGCCACAGTCAACCTGACATTCCAGTCCATGCTGTGTTCCAGAGCTGTGGGTGCCAAGGCGGGCTGTCAGTCACCTTGCTAAGTCCCCAGTCTGAGCTGGCCCTCCCTCAGGAGCCCAATCTGCCTAAGTGCTGGTGTCCACAATACACTTGAGGAACATTGTATCGTCCTTCACGTAGGCATGCTTGGGTGACTGCAGTCTGACGAGGGGGAAGAAGAGTGGGCAGCCACTGGCCACGTTGGTTTCAGTCTGAGGCCGCTGGAAGGAGGCTGAGCTCAGGTCAGGCCGGAAGGCATCAATGGCATGCTCACGGTTGTTCTGGTCGAGCAGCATGAAAGTAACCTGCAGAACAGAAGCAGGTGGCGATCAGGCCCTGAGTGGCAATGCCAAGGCTTGGAGGCCTGGTGTGTGGGGTCAGAGGGCTCCATGTTTACTGCCTGTGTGGCCCTTTGACCCTTAGCTCAGACCAACTGGGAGTCAGAGGACCACAAGGACCATAAGGGAGTAAGGCAGGATTCAGGGAACAGAAGCACCAGGTATCCTGCCAGGCTTCAGGGCTGTCCTTTGATTAGGATTAGCTGTCTCATCCAGCAAAAGGGTGACGGGAATCATGATGTCACAGTCAAGTTCAACTAGCCATTGGTGGCTCAAGGTGTGACTGAGCACTGACAAGAAGGCTGGATGCAGGAACCCAAATGAACCTCTGGTTTGAAATTTTTGACTCATCATCTCCATTTGGAACCTCCTGGGTCCAGGCAGAGAGGCTGTCAATCAAAGCCCGGAGACATTCATCGGTATGAATGGATACATATGGAGTGGATATATACCCACAAGAAGCTGTTATCTAAATGTGACATCAGCCCTCTTCTCCAGCACATGTCCCACCCAAACACACGTCAGGAAGTGGAACTGCTTCCCATCACCTGCTGAAGCCATTTGTAAACTTGACTGCACATTGGAATCCCCAGGGGAGGCCTAAAAATCCCCACATTCAGAATTTAGTGTTTACTAGGGTCAGGTCCCATTCACTAGTGTTTTAAAAAATGCCCCACCACTTTTGGGAACCACTGCCTATTGACTCATACCCAGACCTACCTAGCTTGCCCACTCCAACTATTTCCCAACCCAACTGAGTCTGTGGTCTTGGTGTCTCCCCTTACTCAGTGATCTGGTCACCTGCAGGAAATTCCTATGGGTCCCCCACCAGCTCACCTTTAAAAATTTTTAATAGGGCTGGGAATGTAGATTGGTTGATGTGGCATTTGCTAAGTACAAATGAAGCATGAGTTCATTCCTCAGTATTTCAAACATTTAAAAAAAAAATCACAATAAAATCTGGGGGCTCAAGCCTGAAATCCTGGCTACTTGGGAGGAGGATGACAGGAAGGATGGCAGTTTGTGGCCACCCCAGGCAAAAAAATTTGTGAGGTCCAATCTCACCCAATGACTGGTGTGGTAGTATGCACCTATCATCCCAGCTATGCAGGGAAGCCAAATAGGACTGTGGTCCAGGTCAGCCTGGGGAATAAAATGAGACCCTATCTCAAAAGCAAAATGAAAATAAACAAAAACAATGCAGAAGGGTTGGTCGAGTGGCTCAAGTGGTAGAGTGCCTGCCTAGCAAGCCAAAGGGACTAAGTTCAACTCCTGCCAAAACTTTTGGGAGTGCTGGGGATTGAACCCAAGGGCCTTGCACAAGCACTCTACCACGTGAGCTGTGCCTTCAGCCCTTTTGTTTTTATTTTGTTTTTGAGACAGTCTCACTACTTTTATTCTTTTTTTTTTGCCGAGACTGGCCTTGAATCTTTGGTAGTCTGCCTATTCCTCCCTCCCTTGCTCCTATCCCTGGGAAACCACTGATCTTTTCAGTCTCCATAATTGTCCTTTTCCAGAATGTTATGCAGTATAGCTGGCTTTTCAGAGTAATATGCACTTAGTAACATGCACATACAGATCCTCCATGTCTTTTTCTTTTTGGTGATATTGGGGTTTGAACTCAGGGCCACTTGATTGCTAGACAAGTGCTCTACCACTTGAGTCACATGCCCAGTCCTTTTTGCTTATAGTTTGTTTTTCAGATAGGATTTTATAATTCTGCCCAAGCCAGCCTCAGACTGTGGCAATCCTCCTTACCTCCACCTCCCGAGTAGCCTGGATTACAGGCACCTGCCACCACACCCAGTCCACCTCCATGTCTTTTCATGACTTGACAGTGTACTTTTTTTTAAGCACTGAATAATATTTCATTGTTTGCACATACCATAGTTTATCTACTCACCTACTTAAAGGCCATCTTGGTTGTTTCCAGGTTTTGGCAATTATAAATAAAGGTGCTATAAAGATCTGTGTGCAGGTTTTGTGTAGATGTAAGTTTTTAACTCCTTTGAGTAAATACCAAAGAGTGAGACTGATTGCTGGTTCATATGGTAGGAGCAGGTTTAGTTTTGTACAAAGTTGTCAAATTATCTTTCAAAGAGTCAAAGAGGCTGCACCACTTAACACTTCCCCTGGCAGTGAGCGAGAGGTCCTTCTGCCCTACAGCCTCGAAGCACGTGGTGATGGTGGGCTGACTTCATAGCCCCTCCTCTGGGCAGGTCTCCTTATTCACTCCATCTTCTGACTTTTTTTCTATGCCCTTTGTTTTACCCTCTTCATTTTAGTTCCTGGACTCCAGGGGCTGGAGGGAGCCTTGGCTACTAGATCTGAAATCAGCTTCTTGTTTTATGAAAGGAAGCTAGCAACACAGAGAGTACAGGGGACTTGCCTAGCTCACAGTTAAACCAGGACTAGGACTCAGGTTCTCATGCTCCCTCTCCACCCCATCATTACTCCCAGGCTCATACCTTGTTCCGGAAAGGCCACTGCAGCAGGGCATCATACTCCCCTCTCATGATCACGATGAAGAGGGACAGATGGGTCCTCTTGCCCATGCCATCTCCATTCAGGTACAGCCGCAGACACAACTTGTAGCCATACTTGGCAGTGTAGAAAGCTGAAAGGTGGAGTCAGAGCCAGCGTCAGCCCAGCATAGAGGAAGCTGGGCAGTGCTGGACTTTGCAGATGAGGAGACGTAGCAGTCAGGCTTGCCAAGGTCAGTGGCTCAAAACAAGGAAAGCTGGGTTTGGAGGCCAGCCTTTCCAAGAGAGAGCCAAGGACAGATGTGCTCTCAGAGGTAACCTAGTCCACTGGTTGTAAGTGGCATTTAGGTCGCAGATGGCAGGCCCCATGCTGAGTTTCTGAGTCAGCAGTGCTGGGTAAGGGTGGAGAGTTTGCCTGCTTAACAAGTTCACAGGGGACAATAATGCTGCTGGCCCTGGGGACCACAATTTGAGAATCAACTTTCTAACCAACCTACAGTTTACAGTTTGGAAACTGAGACCAATAAAGGGAAGTGTTGGCCACCGTTACAGTGTGCTCAGTCAGAGCCAGGGTTAGAGACCAGGCCTCACAGCTCCAAGACTGGTTTTTTCTGCTGCCCTAGGCCATAGTTGGGTCCTCCCAGAGGCTGGGGTGGGGGTAGTTTCCAACTCTGCCAGTCACCTTGAGCAGAGGCCCCAGAGGGGTGAGTCATCCTTGCTGACTAAGCACAGGAGACCATGGGGCTCACTCCCTGGGCAGCTGAAATGGCCATCCCACCCCAGCATGGGTTCTGGCAGTTGTCACCTACTGGTGGTACGTCCCTGGGTGGAGATGAGATGTAAAGCATGGGCAGGAAAAGGTGGAGGAGGGTCAGGCTGTCAAGTCTGACTCATCTCTGCCCACTGTGTGTTGGCAGAACAGGAAGCCACAGTACTGCTTGCTTTTCCCCTCTTTGGAAAGAAACGAGGAGGACAGATCTGCAGGCAGGACATGAGGCCACCCAAGAAGAGGACTGTCCCCACGAGGGGACAGCTGAGGGAACCCAGCGCTGCTCTGGGATGAGGGCAGATCCTGCCCATCACGGTCAACCCATCTGTCTGTTGGTCTTGGATATTCCAGAAGGGCCAAAGAGCACAGAGGAGCTGAAGCTCGGGCAGGTGCAGAGCTTCTGCTTCATCCCTGCCTATTCACTTGACACATGGGAATGACGCCAGGGAGCACACAGGCCTGACTCCCAGCTCCACAGTGGGCTTCTGTGCAACCTTGGATAGGGACTCAGCTTTCCTGGGCCTCAGTTTATTCATCTATAAAATGATGTCAAGACAACAGGCACTTGATGAGGCTCTGAGACATCTCATCCAGTGGCGTGGTGGAGTTTAAATAGAGCCACGGCCATACACATATATGAGTTTTGTTATAGAATCAGGTATCAATTAGTTAAGAAAAACATTTACCATGTAACACTTTATGCTAGTCATCATGCCCAGCCTAGGGGCCCAGAAATGAGTAAGAACTGCCCAATTTACACAACAGTCATTTGTGAGCTGCCCACAATCGCACACAGTCGTACAGGTGCGTCTGACTCAGTTCTCTACTTGACTTAATGCAGACCACTGGCTCCCTCAGGGCGGGGTACCATGGTATTGCCTATGGAAATCCCCATGGGCAATCCCTCTCATTTACACAAGCTTTGGCTCACAGGCTTTTTCTTGTCCATGTGGTCGCCACATGAAGTGGAAAACGATTTTTATTTCTATTTGTCAAGTGAGACTGACCTACTGGGATGAGAAATGGATTATTCAAGCAACATAGCCCACTGCTGTGTGTGACTGAGATCCACAGGTCAGAGCACCATTTGTGCCCTGGCCCTATGGGCCCAGCATCTGGCCAAAGTAGGTGGCCCACTGGCCTAAATGGACTTGGCACAGTGTCCCAGAATCCACTCTTTTCACTGTTTGTTTCCTGGACCATGTGGGGCCTGCCTCCCTGACCTGGTCTCTGTGCCCATGAGGTGTTACCTGGGGAGAAAAGGCTGATGGTCCTGCCACAAGCTGACTCATGGCAGCGCCTGGTGACATTGGTGATCTTCCACAGAAAGGTGCCATCAAAGGAGGCCTCCTCCATGAGACGCAGGCTCTGCTCCAGCTTGCCCAGGGCCTGGTCTTTCTGGGACAATGTCTGCTGCAACTCCACCACCTGTGGGGAAGCCGGCTAGTGGGTGAGGTGGGGATGGCGGGGTACAGGGATAGATCTGCCCTGATACACTTTCCTGACCATGTTCACTCAGTGCATACATTTGCATTCACACAGCTGCTTCCTGCTTGGAATTCTTTTTTCTTTCTTGTCTAGTGGCCAACTCCATCAGGAACCCTGCTCCTATGGCCCTTCCTATGCAAGTCTTTAGCCACGGCACGAGTTCAGCTGGTCTATCTCACTTCTGTTCTTATGCAGCCCTTACGTGGTTTGATGAGGTATGTTTTTCTGCCTTTCCTACCAGATAGTTTCCCCATATTGGCTAGGCCCATGTTCATCGGTTCTCTGCACAGATGCAGAGACAGTTAGGGAGAAGGCTGGATGCTACTTTGGGGACAGGACAGGACAAAGCTGGCCATGAGGGCAAATGTCCCTCTCACGCTCACCCTCTGTTCCAAGCTCTGGATGTGCTCACGGTCCAGCTGGCTCTGGTGGATGGAGGCAGCCAGGGCCAGGTGAGAGGCCTCCACCTCCTTGTTGAGGACGGCGACAATGTTCTCAAACACACGCAGCTTCTCCTCCAGCTCGGCCAGCAGCTTCTCTTTCATGAAGTGTTTCAGGGCTTGCTCCTCCTGGGTCTCAGAACAGGGGGCCTGGTAGCAGTCCACCTCCAGGTCCCCCGGTACCTCCACAGCTGCCTGCAGCTGCAGGTCTGACAGGTTCCGTTCCAAGGCTGTGGGCCCAGACCCTGGGCTGGAACCCTGCTGGGCCTTCCACTGTGTAATGAACCCCAACAGCAGGTTGAGGTGGGAGGTCTGGGAAGTGGCTGAATGCTCCTGTATGGACTGTGGGCTCCCCTGCTGAGAGAGGGGGATCTTCAGGAAAAAGCCAGGCTGAGAGAGGACTCAGGACCAGTATGGAGCCCTGTCACTGAAGGCCACAAAGGAAAGTCTGACGCATGCCCCCAGCCCATGGGAAGTGGCTTTCTGCACAGTGGGGGGGATTCAGGAGGACCCTGGCATCAGACAGACCTACAGGGAACACATGCATCCAGTGCTCTAATGGAAGAATCCCACCCTACTTTTGAGTGTAATGATGATTCAGGACCATGGAGAGAGGCAGGGGATCACTTCTGTGATGTCATACCAAGGCAGGTGAGACATGAAGAAGAACTTCCTGAATACTATGATGACTGAAGAGTGGGATTTGAGTTTGATGTTATGGGAAAATGCTGGAGGGTTAGAGGGAGACCTCAGAGGTCAGAGACCTCCTTTCTCACACACAGATGCTTACCTTGAAGGAGCAGCCAACACCTGCAAAGGGGCATGCAGCACCAGTCTCAGCCATCTTGGGGTGAACCTGGAAATAATAAGCACATCACTGGATGTGATAGGGATCCCTGTGGCTGCCCCAGGACTCTCTGCAAAGCACCCGGATCTGCCAGGGCAGAAACTAGGATGGCACGTGACACTGCATATTCTGTTCCCTTAGCCTGGCCCTTTTATGACCATCCTTCAAAACAGGACCAAGGCCCCTGCTGTCATCCTGAGCAGCACTGCTCTCTGTCCTGTCCAGACACATTCCACACAGCTCCACAATTGTCACACTCTCTTTGCCTGCTCCCACTGGTCTGGGGAGGCAAACTACAGAACAGATACTTCACTGAAAGAGATATTGGAATGACAAACCTATTAGAAGGTGATCAACATCGCTAATCATTAGAGAAATGTAAATTATAGCTACAGTGAAATGCCACTCTCCATGTGATAGAACAGCTTGGTGATATCAAGTATTTGTGAGGACATACAGCACTGAGAACTCGCATTTGTCACTGGTGGGGGCGAAAAGTGGTACAGACACTTTGAAAAAGTCTATGGCAGTATCTTAGAAAGTTAAACCATACTTCTAAAAGGATGGTTATTCTTATAAAGTTGCCCTACGACCCACACATTCCATTCCTAAGAGTTTATCCAAGAGAAATTAAAACCCATGTCCACACAGGGATGTGTATGCAACTGTTCACAGCAGTTTTATTTATAACAGCCCTAGATCAGAAGCCAGCCAGAAATGGATAAGCAAATTGCCATACAGCCACACGACAGAACACTGCTCAGTAATCAAATTGAATTAAATACGAATACACATGGTAACATGGATGAACCTCAAAACATTACACTAAAGATTACATACACCATGATTCCATTCTTAAGATATTCTAGAAGAGGCAAAGCGATAGCCAACCCCTTAATGACACGAAGTCGATCAGCAGTTTCCTGGGGCTGGGGGTGGGAGGGGGCTTGCTTTGTAGGAACACACACACACGTTTCCTGGGGCAGAAACGTGTGCCATCTCACCGTAGTGGTCACCATGGAATGACCAGGACTCACCAAACTGTACATTTAAAATGAGTGAACTGTATTGCACGTAAATAATAACTTGATTTTATGGGAGTTTTGCTTTTTTTTTTTTTAAGAATAATCTGGTGAGAAGTGAAATGGGATTTGGATGAAAGGAGAGAGAAGGACAGAGGTCTTTTGGGCTAGGTATATACAAAGCCACATGAGTTTTCCTCTCTAAAAGTAAAATAAACAGAGGGCTATGGCTCTAATGAGTACAGTTCATTTGGGACACAGAGCCCCACCCTGCAAAGACCCACCTGGCCTTGCCCCATTGTCTTGAGTGCAGGGACATGTTGTTCCCAAGAAAGAATAGAAAACAGATGTTTCACCATGGAGTGGGGTAGGATGATTTGGGAGTGGGTGGGCAGAGGGTGGCCTTGGCAGGGAGGCACACTGCCTTTGGGAGGTCTTTGGTGAAGAAGTCTCTCCTACCAGGTTCCCTCGATGACATGTGGCACAAGGCAGGTCTGAGGCCACATGTAGACCCAGAACCTGGGCAGACAGACATGGGAACCTCTCAGACCTTATAGATCTTACACATCCAAGAGGAGGTGTGTTTCCTTTTGGGAGCAGCTTTCTTGGTGTGTGAGTAATGCTGGGGGGGCGGGGAGGGAATGACATATGGATGTCCAGCTCATCCTTACTGTGATGTGTGCCCAGGTGGGCTGTCACAAGCTTCAACTTCCCTGTCTTATCATCAGTCACTCACTCTTTAGGGTATAGGGGTTGTGACTATGGGCTCTGGAATCAGCCTGTCAGGTGGGCAGTCTGTTGCTAGCATATCATGTAGTAGCTGGGTGGACCTGGGAGACTCATTAACTCCCCTATGTCTTAGTTTCCCTATCTGCAAAATGGTATCCACTTTTAGAGTTAGTGTGAGGATTAAATGAGATAATACACATAAATGCTAGTATTAGTTACCTATTGTGGCTGTAACAAAATACCATGAACTTACTGGCTTAACACAATATAAATTTATTATCTCATAGTTCTGGAGCAGCACTGTGCTCCCTCCGGAGGCTGCCGGGGAGCCTCTGTTTTTCCAGCTTCCAGGGGCTGTCTGCATTCCTTGGCTTGGTGTCCCTTCCTTCACACTGAAAGCCTGTGTATAATATCCTCCAACTTCTTGCTGACTCTCTTGTCTCCTTGTGATTGCACTGTGTTTGCTTAGGTAGTCCAAATCTCCTCATCTCACGATCCTTCATTTGATCACATCTGCAGACTCTTTTTGCCACAATTATGGGCTGAGCAGTGCCCTCCCCCAACCAGTATCTCAAATGTGGAAACAGAGCCTTTAAGGAGCTCATTAGGGGTAGGCCCTAATCTGACATGACTAGTGTCCTTATAGGAAGGAGACCACATGAAGACACTGGGAAATGATGGCCATATGTAAGCCAAAAAAAAAAAAAAAAAAAAGAGGCCTTGGAAGAAAA